AAAAAAATTATTCAATCACAATTTTTTATGCACTTTTTGTCCAATGCATGTCCTACAGTAAATAGACCAGTTTTCAATTTTTGTGCCACAAGCTAATAAGAGTGTTACAACAAAGGCCTTTTAATAGCATCACTGATTTAAGCAAGTCTAACACTAACTCGTTTGGCAACAATCAAAATGTCAATCAACAGCTTGCAGCTCTGCATAATTTCATAGTCATTTCAAGTACCCATTCTCTTCCTGAGGCTGTTCTTTCTTGCAGTAACATCCCATCACTGCAGCTGGTATTTCACCCCTCTGTGGCACCGCTGGGTCAACCAAGGGCTGAGTTTGTTCTTATACAAGCTGCCTAGCACATACAGTACGCAGCAGAGTGGATGCACTCTGTTGCTAAAGCTAAAAACGAGGAACTGACAAAACTTCATTGATGACTTCTGCAGAGCTCATTTGCAGCTAAATGTCAAGCATATTCAGGGTGAGGAACAAACGTTCATTGTGAGCTGATTCTCATTTCCTGTTCAGGTAGATTATGAGTCTAATCACATTGGTCTGTAGATCTTCCCACACAGATAGTGGAAATGTGTGCTAGATTCAGAGGGGAATAAAACAGGGCAACAGTAATTCATTTCAGGTTCATGAAGAAAAAAAAAAAATCTGTCTTTATATGTAGAATATATATATATAAATAGCTCTTTTTGCATAACTAACTAGTTCAATGCTTCAATACATTATGTGACACCACATGGAACAGGCCTATTTTTTCTTCTAAATGTTATGGTATGCCTTCAAAGTTGTGTCATTAAACTCAAGGAATATATCATATTTACATGATCCATTTCCATCTTGTTTTGGTTTTTGAGGCCACGTAATTATCAAATTGTGTGGTAATCACTTCAAAAGATTGGAGGCAAATGGAGTCAATTTGAAATTGTATGAACAGTATTGAGTTAAAGAAAGTTTTAAAAAGCTGTGTTTTGTTCAATTTCATTATACTCTGTATAACTTTTCTAAATGCAAAAACACATTCGGTACAAACTGCCCCTTAAACAGTTCAATATTTCTTTCATTTTGCATTTAGAACAAATTACAAGATAATCATGTAAAATAAAAACAAATGAACTACAGTATCTCTCAGAAGTGAGTACACCCCTCACATTTTTGTAAATATTTTATTATA